CACTCCATATACCCGGGGGTTATGGAGTCGATCTGGGAGTTCAGGCTCAAGAAGTTGCTCTCCAAGTGTCACGTTATCGTGGAAGACGGGAAAGTAATTGCGTTCGCCGTCTGGACCCAGGAGAGCCACTTTGCTGCCGAGCAGCGAGATGGTGAGGGATTCGCTCCGCCATATCTCTCCTCTCTCCGGACTCCCGTTTCATATACAGATTCACTAATTTGCTAATCCTTCTTTGGGCCAGAATGTCCCCCGGAGGACCTCGCCGAAAAATTCAAGCTCGTCGGCTCCCGAACGGACGTCTTCGAAAAAGCCAGCGCGTGGATCCGGGACAGGATCAAGGACGCCGGCATTCAAGAATGGTTCACCATGCACCTGCTCGTAACAGATCGTCCCTTTCGTTGCCGCGGCGCTGCAGCGATGCTCCTTGAGGAGTTTGTAAAGGAGGCCGGAGGGGGATATTGTTTGGTCGAAGCCAGCCGAATGGGGGAACCCCAGTACGTGAAAAAAGGGTTCAAAAAGGTCGCAGTCATGCCAGTGAGGGTTGATGGTAAGCAGGAGGAAACCAGTTTTGCCGTCATGTGGAAGCAGTTAGTGGAAATTACTGTAATGTGGTTTTTAGTTTGAGGGCCATATCGAACCGTGTTTTTGTGTTCAAGTTGGCCCGGTAGGCAGCCGTCCTGCCTGAGATGATGACGAGCTTTTCCGGCGGACTGTACACAGTGTTTTAACTGTACCAATGTATACATTAGGAGTGACCCCTGATCAACTCGCACTGTATCTTGGTTGCTTGGAGAGAACCAAATTTTCCGCCTCACGCAAGGAGGGGGCCTCCCTTTAGGCTGGGCTTATGGTGTTGATGGTGGGTGTATAAGGTGCGGATGTGGACGGCCAGGTTTTCTCCAGTAGCCCCTTCGCCCTGTCCACATGCACGGCGGAAATCTTTCGGGTGGATGGAATCCATAAGTGTTTTACTAGGCAGAGGAATTAGCGGACGGGTGTTAGGGCGTGAATGTCTTGATCATTCCGCGAGATGACGTGGCCGCTTTTCGACCGACGCCCTCCCACTTAGGCCGGGCTTATCCATTTCTTGGAGAAACTTATTGAAAGCGTTGCATTGCAGGAAACCACTAATGCAGCCATCACCAGTTTTGTTTGTGCACACACCTCCACAACGGACCAACGATGGGAAAGGAAATGGGTGAGGCTAAGCCCGTACCTGCAAGCCGGCGGGGGCAACCACTATGCACAAGCGGAGAAAATGGTTGCGTTTCCGACGGGCAGACTTGCTACGCCGCTAACGAGACCTCACTGGCGTGAAAAGGACAGCCGACCTCGACGAAAACCTTCCAAGTAATAGCCTACCTGCCTGCACTTGGCGCGCAGCTGAGCCAAAGTTAGATGGTACTTCAGATACTGGCTGGCGTTAAGGACGGGCAGACAGGTAAACACTTTAAAAGGAGTGTTGCTTGCTTTGGCCGAAAATGTATAAATGGTCTAGCTAGTTCTGCATCGGTACCAAAGAATAAAAGAGACCTATCTATTCACCTTTACTAACTATCATCCAATCCAGCAACCTTGGGCCCTTTGTATTATCTGCAAGCATGGCTCAAGCGTCTGGTCCGCCGCCTCCGCCGCCGCCGTCTCCCCTGCCTCCGCCGCCGCCGTCTCCCCCGCCTCCGCCTCCGCCGCCGCCGCCGCCTCCCAAAAACGGCAAAGATGATCTGAGCTTTATGCAGACGCTGGAGGAGTCTCAAAAAAAAGATATGGGTTTTTAAAATGAGGTAAGAAATATAGGTATGATGCGGACTTCTTCGGGTTTAAAGCGCTTGCTTATAAATTAATGAAAATGTATCACGAGCTCCTATTTAACGGCAGGCACAATTTTAGGAAGACGAAATTATATTTTGAGTGGGCATGATAATAGTGTTAAGAGGGCTGGGCTCCGTGAGTATACAAGCGGCCTCCAGAGGCGGTGGGGATCGCGGCCACGGAGATGCGTTATAACACGCGTCGTCAGCGGGTTTCCAGCCGGACCGGCCATTATGCGCACAACCACACTTATATGAGCGATTACAACTGGGCTGGGGCGTCTGTATTGATAGCTTTCCCTCTTCGTTGATCGTTAATTAATCCTATACCTACCACCAGTGCACATCGGGCAGCCTCAACAGGCTGCGGACAGACGGTGAGCCGGCGAGCGGGCCGACATGGTAAGGGAGTTCTGCGCCACCACATCAAGAAGAAGGAGACCGCTTGCATCGACGCACCTCTCCTAGGCCCTCGCCTGGTCCAACAGCGAAACGATCTACGCGTGGCTCCGCCGAGCCGCCTTCCATGTTCGGGATCGACGGACCTCGAGGGATATCGACACGGGCGGGCGGAGACAGCTAGACCAACGGGGCCAAGCCGACCTGGCCAAAGGGGTCACGAGACTTGATGCTCTCCGCCGAAATGCCGGACTACGACCAGTTCATCGGACGCCTGCACCCACGGTCAAAACACGACGGTGCCCGGGCCCCCGAGCCGGAACGGCTCGAGCAGCGCGAACAGCTCAATCGAGTTCCGGGATCGCCAAGCAACACCCCACCGGTCGTGGGAATGCAAAAAGGGAGGCGCCGGACGAGGAGTTCAGGGGAAGTCGGGGATGGAGGAATGATTTTCCGACACTTCCCCCAGCTCGGACGGCCATCGCTAAGCGGGGGTGAGGGGCGATGCTGCTTGGTTTGGTGGGGTGACATCATTCTGGAATGAGCCAATCCGTTCGATCAAAAGCGATAAGACGCGATAAGGCGGCGCCCGGCGGGGCGGCGGCTTAACCACGTCGTGCCGCTGTGTCACAGCCCGTTGCCCCGCTTGCCGCCCGACTTCAGCAGGTGTCCGATCCCGACTCCGACAACAGCCAAGTTCAACAGGTCCGTCATGGATCCCCCTTTCAAAATCGAAAGTTTGCCGGATATGCGGGAAAGCGCTGGTAGGGTCCGCTTTTCCGCCCGAGACATGACACCGGTGGAAGAAAGGGGAGGCCTATGGCGGTTGCCGATGTCGCATTTACCACTACTGCAACCAGTTGCCTTGTTATACAACAGGGACTACGTAAGTCGACAGGTTTACCCGTTTGCCAACCGTGCCTAACGAAGTGTCAAGTTTAATACCATTGTTGTTGCACAAGCCAAAGCCAGGGGGCTAAGCATCACCTTCGATCACGGCCTGGAGTGCCTTTGGGTCGAAAACGCCCTGGTACCGAGCAAGGGTCAAATGTTGGTGATCATTGTGCTTCCGAAGCCACTGGAACCCCAGGCTGCTGGAGTGCCAGTGCCACGAGGAATGGAAACCTTGATTCACGAAGAGCCACGAAGGTCCGGCGCCAACGTTTTACAACGATGCTTATATGGGCCAGCATCTAAAGTGAGGGCCGGGCGGGGGGTCGCAATGTCCCCCCATTTGAACCCGGCCAAAGAAAGAAAAGTCGAGGGCTGGAGGGCCTAGTTCCAACCCGGTGTGCTCCTTGTGCGTTTTGTCGCGTGGACAATAAGCTGCGCGGTTTGCCAACGTGGTGCAGGTCGGGCCTTTACGGTCACGCTGGCAAACAGAGCCGCGACAAGACCTTGCGCGTGCGATGCCACCTATACTTCAGTATAGCCCCGGTGTGACAAAAACAGAGGCGCGTGCGGTCAGGCAAATCTTGCGCGTGCGTGCTTAGCAGGCAATGCGTGCTGGGCAGGCAATGCGTGCTGGGCAGGCAATGCGTGCTGGGCAGGCAATGCGTGCTGGGCAGGCAATGCGTGCTGGGCAGGCAATGCGTGCTGGGCAGGCCAATCTTGCGCCATGCGTATCGTCGGGTGCGGTCGACCGAGGAGGAGTCGTGTGAGGCTGCGACTGATGAAAAGTCGCGTGTGTGGCGGGGGACGGCGGCGGCCGGGCCGGCTATTCGTCCAATCTGCTCTAACTGCTTGCCGGCCTGCAGTCTTCTTGTGCGTTCATCGCTTCGTCGCGTATCGTGTACCCGCGAGGCGAAAGCGAAAGGAAGTTCAAGGGCGGTCTGGTGATGCGCGGATGTTGGAGCATTTAATTGTCGAGATTTTGGCGCGCGCGAGGCGCGCGCCCTGGGCGATAGGGTGCAGGCCTTCCCCTCGACTGGCAATAGGCACTGCCATACCTTTGCCAGCCATTCTCTGCTCTTTTGGCCCAGTTGCGTTGCCGACGTCGTTGTTGAAAGGAGTCGGAGAACGCGGGTCGAACAGAGCCAGATGGCCTGTTAGACCCTGTTGTGCAGCCGGCTCATATTTGGTAGCCCCAACACCAAAATGGCCGGGTTTCCTTAGCGGTCACTAACAGTGGGTCCGACAGGAAATTTTTTCGGGGGGAAGGTGGGGCCTGGAAGAGAGCATCGGACAAACGTAACCTTTTCCAGCCAGGCATTGCCCAGGGGCGGACTAACGAAATCTGCCCCATGCCATTGCATGAAAGACCACGGCTATGATTAACTACCGACTTCCAAGTACTAGGTACCGCATTGATTCACCGAGGTGTCGACAACCACCGGAAGATAACATAGGGACACCCAAAAGCATCCGCCGACCTGGGCGGTCACCTTATGCGGCACCGTCCATTCTATCCATTCCCCGGCTCTCGCAGTTGCTATGCCTGCCATACATATAAAACCCGACCGGCCCGAGCAGTTGAGGGCGGGCATTATGGATCGAGAACCGAAAACGACGGCAACTCCTAGGCCAACCCCACGAGACGGACTCTCCACCCCTCGTTGGAAGGCCAACAGACTAGAACTTGACCGCTAACTCCAGCTGGTCGGCGTCGGCCGAGGCGCCGAATTCGATCAAGCCAGTAACAGAAGCGACCGGTGCGGCTGAATGAGCCGTAAACCGCTTGCCGCCCTCCTCCATCCAAACGTCGCGACCAACCCAGTTTGACCAATACATCCACTAAGTGAGGAGAGATCCTGGTTTGTCGGTGTAGTGCGCTGGATCGCCGGCGGTTTCGGAAAGGATGCGGCGTCGATATAGCGCCTCCGTGAGATGGGTACTTTGGGCGTGAAGGGCTTCGGTTACTCGAAGTTCTCGCTCTGGCTTTGGTTCCCTGGTTCGTGGGTCCTCCTCCGGCCGTGTTTTGGACAGCTGCATTGCCAACGCAAACCGTTTCTTCCAGGGCGTGACCTCAGTTGACAGTATCAAATAGACGACGTCGTCGTCAGGCACGCCATTCTGCGGTGGGGCATGATGTCTTTTGACCATGCCGAGATATTGGACGTCGTCAAACGCGCTCTTCTCTAGTAGTGCGTACGTACGCGTGACTCGGCCTGCGCGGTTATGCAGTATATGCATTGTTACCAGAAAGAAATGATTGCGTTTAAGGGTTGGTCTCTCAGGTTGGCATGGAGAGCTGAATAATACGTGAAATGCGGAAAGATTTACAAGTTTCAACTGCAGACGTGGGTGCAGGCGAAAGCAACGATCTCAAAAAAGCTACGGTGTGGTTCTCGTATTCCCAACCCTAGACCGCAAGGCAATTTATCTGCAGCGTAAGCCTCAGCCCGAGGGATACCGGATCTTTGGATCCTGATGGCTGTGGTCAACGTCGACTCTCCTAGGCGTCTAACAGAAATCCTGAAAGCCTCTCGGCCAATGCGGTTATGGTTTCATTCACCCGAGGCTTAATAATCTCGGCTCCTCCGCGATCCATTGACAGCGCGGTTGACCAGCAGTCCCGCCACTGCCGCCTTGGTGACGAGCCATTTGTTACTGCTTCCGCGTTTATCGATTATCGTCTCCACTGCCGCGGCGCCTGCGGCCGCCTCCACGGGGCCAACCTGTGCGTCGCCGAGATGTGCGCCTACCTGCCGATCTGCGGCTCCATCTTCGAGCTCGCGAGCCGCTTCGTCGACCCAGCCCTCGGCTTTGCCATGGGCTGGACATACTTCTTCGCCGGCCTCATGCTCGTTTGCACCGAGTACTCTGCTATCGCCACCGTCATCCGGTACTGGGACTCCAGCACGAATCCCGCCGCGTGGATCGCCGTTGCCATGTTCTCGTGCATCATTGCCAACGTGGTTGCCGTCAAGTGGTACGGCGAGGCCGAGTTCATCATGGCGTCCACAAAAGTCCTGCTTCTTTTCGCCCTTATCCTGATCACCGTCATCACCATGGCCGGCGGTCTATGACTGTGATGTGTTGTGGTGTAGAAAAAGGCAGTGGACCGGCTGAACGCATTGTGTATGTATCCTGGAGGCAATATTGTTGGAGGGGAAAAGGGAGGGCCTGTGTTACGCATTCCTGAGCGACGTAGACGCCGAGGAAAAGCCCCACTCCGAGGCAAGCAGCTTCTGCAAAGCGCGCTGGTTCACCCGCGGATGGACGCTCCAAGAGCTTATCGCGTTGGCAGTGGAGCCAACCCCGGCGCCATGCAGTTGAGCGATTCATGCGAGAAAACGGGAGTACATTGATTTCCCGCTAATTTTCATGGGGAAAAACGTCCATAAAATCCGACAGATTGCCCGCCCGCGCTGAACCCCGGAGGGCCGTTTCAGAGCGGATGCTTTTAATCTGCGCGAGTAGGTGAAATGTAATCAACGGTTGAGTTACCTGGCCCTACTGCTCCATATCTATATCCCGGCTCACCCCCTCTGCCAGCATATGGTTCTGTCCCCCAACTGGGGCCTGGCATTCGGGACAACGGGCGCGCTCCATGGGCATCCCGCACTCGCCGATTGCAAACTGTTGCAAATCTGTAAGCATAAAATATATGGAAGACTGAGGAGTGCGCACAGCCAAAACATACCGTGCGTCCATTGCGACACCTGTACCAGTGTCCAGAATGCGTTGCGATGCCGGCTGCGCCGCTGACCATGGCGGATTTAATTGCCGCGATCTCGTCTGCCGTGACTGGCTCGTACCGTTCCCGCTCATACAGCCGCGAGATCTGCTCGATCTCGGTCTGGAGCTCCTTAGCGCCCTCAAACGCCACCTTGCATAGGCCAGATGCCGTCTCCAGCAGGTCTCGCGCGATATCGACGTAGGCCTGGGACGAGGCTGACGAGGACGGCGATTCGGCAGGACGGCGACGGCGGAAACTTTCGAGGCATTTCGCGACGCGCGCATAAGCGGCAATGGCCTGAATTTCCATTCTGGGGAGATTCTCTTGACGGCATTCCTCAATGAATACCTTGCACTCGCGTAGAAACAGAGGTGCCTTCTGCTCCAGACGTGGGGCTGAATCAAGTACCGAGAGAGCATCTACACGCCTCGATTCCGCGAAGAAGCTGTCGGCGAGGACAATATCCTCGAGCTTCAGACGCGCGAGGGTTCCTCCTAGGATGATTTGCTTGTCCAGCGCAGGGGCCGGTAGGGATGGATCGTCTAAGCTGAGTGCTGCCATCACGCCGTCAAGGCCTTCGTTTCCGTGTCTTCTGGCGAGACGGACGGCATCGAGGAGCTTCTTGGTAGGCTGCTGTTCGGCGCCGATCTTTCGACAGAACTGACCAATGTCCCTCTTCAACGTTTCGGCTTCGGAGTATAAGGTTTCGTCACTTTGGAACCGCCTCATCGGGAGATGTAGGCCCGAACGACTGTTCCTGAGGGTGTCCGCGATGTCCTGGATACGACTCTCCAGTTCAGCCAGTTTTCTGAGACCGTTGACGTGGAACTTGCTCGAAATCTCGTCCATAACGGCTTGGTTGATGGCACGACCGTATCTCTTAGTTGCAAATTGTCTAATTGGCTGCTTGCAGTTTGGGCAGCTAGGCACCGACAGGTTGGCCTGTGATTTCCGGAGGCTGCTGTAGTGTCCAGTCAGAGGGTCGGCCGCGTATACTTCGTTCATCCTCACCGATCCGTCCAAGGATTCGGCGGTGAAGAAGTGGTCGCAGCCGAGGACGACGATGGGGGTTTCGTCAAGGTCGATGTCTCGGTAGTCCTTCAGCTCAAAGAGGTCAACACGGGCGGCAGTATGCTGGCCGCAGGCCTGGCAGTAGCCCTCAGGGCACGTTTCGCCACATATACTCGGGCACTGGTGTCCACACTTGAGAATCTTGCGGCATCTCTCGTTGCACGGGAGGCGTGTGCAGGGCGCGGCGCAGGGCATCGGACAGTCACCCTGGTGCTCGCAGGACCAGGTGCATTTCTCGATGCACGGGTGGCACGCCTGCTGACAGGGGAGCGAGCAGCGTGAATGAGCACAGCGGACCTGACGCGTATGTCTTATATTAGCATTTGCACGCGCTCTGGTCGCACACGGATGTCGCAGCAGTAACACTCACTTCGCATTGGCGAGCGCAGGGCGTGCATGGTTGGCCAGAATGGCATTTGCTCTGGCAGACATGACCGCAAGTGTCGTATGGGCGACCACACTTTCGACTGCATTGCTGGTGGTAGACATCATCGCTGTCCCAATACACGCATTTTCCGCAAGATCCGGGACATTTGTGTCCGCAATGCAGGACCTTCTCGCACGGCGTAGGGCATTCGAACCTCTCCGTGGTCACGTCAACGGCGCATGCGACCTCGACGACGTGGCCACAGCCAGGGACTTTCCTGTAAACACGGACCTTGCAAGAAATCTTGCCCACGTCCAGCGTCTGGTAGCATCGTAATTTTTCGACTCGATGCCCACATGGGAAAGGCACGTCACTAACCGGAACCTGGCACGGTCCGCAGGCCTCGCCGCACAGCCTGGGACAGCTGTGGGTGCAGGTCGCTCTGATGCGCGGACAGCGCTGGATGCATGCAAAGGCATTGTGCATCGTCTCCGAGTGGCACCTGGCCGAGCACTGGTGACCGCAGTCGTCCAGGCGGCGGTCGCAAGGGAGGTCGCAGCCGCCGTCGGGACTGAAGCGAGCAAAGTCGTCAGGCTCACTGCAGCGGATTGGCGTGTCGACGTGTCGCGGGCAGCAGAGCTCGAATGCCGTGCCGATGGAGTTGCTGGCCTCGAGCTGGCGTCGGACCTCAACCCACATATCGACGTTGGAGTATGTATCCGAGTTGCCGATGAGATACATGCCGTGCTGGGCGCGGCTGAGCAGCACGTTAATGCGGTTCGACGTTTTGAGGAAGCCGACCTTGCGGCGGCTGTTGCTGCGAACCAGCGAGACGATGACGACCTTGGCTTCTTCACCCTGGAAATTATCAACGGTGGCGAGACGGATCGCATTAACAAGCTTCTTCGTCTCGAGCAGCGTTTGGCTGGCGTCCTCGGCGCCGTCGATGTCGTTTCGGGCGAGGATGTCCTCATCCTTCTCACCAAGGAAAACCGCAAAGTCGTGGGCTAGAGCGGCGCGCAGCTGCTGCAGCTGTCTTGCGTAGGGCGTAAGGACTGCAATGTCGGTGGTTTTGTATGCTCCCTGTAGGACGAGATGTCGGACCAGGGCCAGCACCATGCGAACCTCCCACTCATTGCCGTGGGACTTGAGGCGTTTGTCGTCGTCGGCCACGTCTTCGGAATGGTCATGGGTAAGCCAGAATACGTTGTTCCGCATCCCGACCACGTTAGGCAAATGCTTTACCATATCGTGGTCCTCCAGGCGTGGGTACATTGTCTGCCTGATGAGCTGAGAGATTTCGGGCCGCATTCGCCTCTGGACATTGAGCTGGGCGACAGGGAGGGGCGGCAGTCCCGGCTGTCCCACGGCGAGGCGCTCGAACTGGCTTCGGTCCAGTTGATAAAGCTCACCGCTGGGCTCCTCCATGCTGAGAGCTCTGCAGGTGATCTGGGGCCGCAGCTGCTGGTGGTCGCCTATTTGTATGACATGTTCGACGCCGGGCATGAGTGCCGAGATGAGATGAGGCTCGAGCACCTCGGCTGCCTCTTCGCAAATGACGACCTTGGCCCTCAAATGGCGGAGGGTAGCGACGTCTTTGGCAAGTCCTGTAGTGGTGATGCCGATGACATTGGCATTCAGCAAGACTCGTCGGTTGGTTTCGTTGTGAACCGCATCGATGCGCGACCGCTGCGCCTCAGTGTGACGGATCTCCTCATATAGCGAGTCGGTCTGCTCCATGCGGATTTCATCTAACCAAGACTGGTAGAGCAGTCGACGCTCCGATCGAGAGAGGGACTTGACATCACGGGTCGCACGACGCCCCAGGTCTTCAAGCACCTCCTCGGTTGCAGCTGCAGTCGTCGCAACTGAAAAGGGACACCAGCTTCTGCCCAACCAGATTGAGACTGGATCTCCGACGGTGACAAAGCCTTCTTGCTCGTCTGGGAAGAATTGGGCATGGGTCTGGGCGCGGTTACGCTCCAGAAATCGCTTTAGAATTGTCGAGGGCGGCTCCTTGCGAAGGGCATGGAGACCCGCGAGACGGTGCCCGAGGCATCTGCGCTGTTCATCCAGCTCCGAATACGCCATGCCGAGAATGCGACTCTCACTCCTGAATTTGAGGGTCCTACGGCTCACCTCGGCAAGGTTGCAATCATTGAGGTCCTCCGACTGGCTTCGTCCGCCAATGCGGATTATGCGACTGATGCCGACAGCCCGGAGATGCTGTAGAAATTGATCCAGAGCGTGGTTTGTGTAGCATCTAATATGGGCAAAGTTAACCAATCTGTAGACCTGGTCGCCGATAACATCGCATAAAAGCCCTTACATCACTATGATGGAGCCGAGGCTTGCCGAATGCTTGCAGGCCAAAAGAACCTGGAGTAGCTTTACGCCTAGATACGATTTGCCAGTGCCAGGAGGTCCTTGAAGCAAGGCATACTCGGTCGTGAGAGCAGCGACGAATGCGGCGGCCTGGCCACGATCGAGGCCAGCCTCAGCCACAAAACGGTCCAAAAGAGCCGCATCGCTCTTCGAGGCAGTAGTTCCGAGTGTCAGGCTGCGGGCCCTGTCCTGCACGATCGAGTCCAGGCGGAATGCGAAGCCGGCTCCACGCGCGTATCTGGGCGGAGGGATTGCGGCAGAAGGGCTCCGCGTGCTGGCCAGGTCCGGAAGGATCCACGTTCGGAAAGGGAGCATATTCAGCATCATGTCCTGGAGGTTCTCCAGAATCGGCTTGAATGTCGCCGGGATCAAGTCAGGGAGATCGATCAAAATCCCGTTAATCCTGTGGTGGTAAATGCGAGTCAGAAGCTCCAGATCCTTGCGTTCTGGCGTTGCCAGCTTGGTCGAGATGGTCCCTCTGTGGGCTTCCGAAACGAGGTTGTTCTCCTCCGATGGGTTCGTGGATTTTTCAGTAACGATAAGAAGCAAGGGCGTCGGCCGACCGCCGACAGCGCAGATGAAACACGCCATGGTGCCCTGCTCTAGTCGCTTCGATTGCTCCCACCAGGCCTGCCGCTCGCTGGCAGATTTCTGTCGCAGGTGATGCGGCGAAGAAAAGGATACATGGGATTCGAAGCCTCGTTTGTCCTCCACCAAGAGGTGCGAGATCGTTGCATTGTGATAGACATACGCCCTGATATTGCCATCAAGGACATGGAGAGGGGTGGCGCCATCCGTAAACAACAGCAGAGCTTGATGTAGGAAGTCGACAAACGGACGAAATGTATCATGCCGGAAGAGCCTGAAGTGCGTGTCGAGGTAGCGCTGGACGGGGTCGTCGTAGAAATGAGGCTGCCGAAAGTCGGTCGATGGCAGGAAGTCGTCCCGGGTAGACAAAATCTCATCGACGGTCGGATAGATTTTGATTCGACCGATGTCGAGATGGTCGTTGTCGTGCCTCCCGGTAGGCAGCTCGAGCTCGATCGGGAAGGCGAAGGTCGGTCGAGCAGCCGTCGGGTCAGCGGGGCCGGATCGGCCATTGGAGGGGTCGGCGGCGGCGGTTAAACGCGTAGCGGACAACTGGACCATGCGACGCAGAGTGGCGATGCGATCTGTACACGCAGCATAGAGACTCGCCGTTTCTGGAGAGTTGAGAAGATCCGCAACGCCGTCCATGGCGACCAAAACCTCGGTAAGGCCACCCTGGAGAGCCGCAAGTTGTCGCCGGCGAAGGAGCTCGCCAACCAGAGCTGACGTCCTCTGCAGAGATGGCTCGATATCCTCCGGGGCGTACATCCTCTTGTAATATGAGAGCATTGCTTTCCAAAACTTGGCGACAAAGTCCAAAGCCTCGGCTCCATTGACGCCGCCGACGATGTGATACAGCTCACCGACATATGTGCCTACCGAGAGACAGTCGAGGAGCGACTCGTGGGCCATGACTCTAATGAAATCATCGGCGATACACATCCTTGTTCTGTCCTCGGTTAGTGCATCGAGGGCAATTGTCGCATTGATGTATTGGCGGCTGGAAGACGTCTCGTCCACGAGATCCCTAACGAGCATTTGGTGCCAGTCTCGGCCATCCCCGTCGAGTATGCCGCGGGCGTCCTCCCAGAACCGGGCCAGGGACGACAGGCTATTGCCACATAGGCTAGGTGGCAATCGTAACAGCCGCTTCCAGTCAAAGTAGGCAGTCCTCGCTTCGGCCTGTTCCAGCGTCTCCGGCTCGTCGCTGGCGTGGATGTCCCGAGTTGTGCCGCTGTCTCGAGTTCGGTCGTGGGAAAAGCGGCACCTCGCACCGTAGGAGCACGCACCGCGCTGGAAGTGTCTGCACGGTAGGCTCTCTTGGTTGTGGGTAGGCCGTCTGCCATGACTGCCCGAGAAGTGTCCGCCACCTCTCCAGCCTTGCGGAGAGGCACGCCAAAATCCTCGCGAGGACGACATGAGTCCAACGTGCTTGAAGAACAAATTGAGGAATACACTGCTAGATCAGACGAAAACTAAGTGGCAAACAGTTGCAGGCAGAGTGTTTTTCGATAATCCCCGATGGAGTTGTAGGAAGCTGTCAAGTTCCAAGGATGGAAGGCAACGCTGGGCAAACAGCCGACGACAAGGCTCGTGCTATCGCACATGGAGGCGAATGCGGGAGGCCCTCCACCTATGCATCCCACGGATGAGGCAGGCAAACCGCGGACACCCACATAAGAGACTGCGGGGACTGCAAAAGGTCTCATCCAAACGCCACCCACCACTTTGCTCGGGCAGCTATGGGCGAAGAGTTTCATTGGTGTATAAATGACGCCTTTCAATGCAGGCAAATGGTCTGGCTGCGGGTTCCTCGGATGGCCTGCCTGCTAGGATATCGACGATGGATTATGTACTTCCAAAATACCAATGGATTTTATGTGCGTCACGTACCTGGGATACCTCGAACATTATGGTCCGCATCGAGGCAGATTAAATAATTGTATTTGGCATTTACGGGCGACGTACGCATGTGCAACGTGCAGGCAATGGCCTCGAATGGACAATTCCTCCAGGACAGATGTAATGGATAGGTGATGTTACGGGAGATACTGAGGAGAAAGCGAGCGAAGACGAGGTCGCTCGTGATTGCACATACGCTGCCACTCCGTCCTCGGCTCTTGTGCCTTCATTTATTGGAGCACACAACACATCACGAACCATCGCGAGAAGGAACCGGCAAAGTGGACTCTAGAACCGGTGTGTGGTGTGCGGGGTCGCCAACAACAAGGGCTAGATGTGGCGATAAGTGTATTCGATCACGAGGCCAGACGAACACGCGCTCTCGACAACAACATACAAACTGGGTCTCCATGCCAGCTGCTTTCCATCATGATCTATCCCACCCAACCGGAGCATTCCAACCCTGCGGCCTGCTTCCAAGCCCAAACGGCTAGGACAAAGTGTGTGGCGAGTGCGGGTGCCGGAATCGATCAACTTTGATGCATGCTGCCTCGCAAGCATGTGACACCTGCAGCTTGGTGGTGCAGGAGTCCCCCCGGTCGACGTCGATTGCTGGCCAACCAATCGACTTGCCTCGTGATGGCCGTCCAGCACGCCTGATCCGCCCTCGAATCGTCCACCCAGCGATTAGGGTCCGTTTACGGAGCGAAAACGGGAAAACACCACACCACCTTTTTTTGTTGTGCCCCTCTTCCACGGTAAAAAAAAAAAACTCTCAGCGGAGTCCGACTCTCAGCCGAACTGCAGACGGCATGCGTGACTCTCAGCCGGGCGGGGACCGGTTGCCTTCGGGCAGAATTGCCGGAAAAGGGCATGCCAAATGCCGTCAAGTCGGGCAGGCAGTGGCTTGATCCGGGTGAGCCACAGCTGGAATCGCGCTGATATCAGCGCCCGAATCAGAGCTGAGCGTTTCGCCTGTCCTTTTTCTTATGTTCTGATACTATGCCCTATGTTCCCCTATCATCATGATCATGAATATCATCATAATCATCATGGTACAGTGTGCTTCGCCAGAGGCTAGTGCCGTAATGTGAGGGATTCGTTTTGACTGCGGCCAGCTCTTTCTACGTTGGCGCTTGCGGTGTGGCTGCGAGCTTTCTTCTTTCGCGCACGGCACCCACGCTAAACACTAGTGCAAGTCGTTTGCAAGCACTAGGGCACCAAACTGCAAGGGGGCGATGAAGGTTAACACCCCTACTCCCTCCTGTTTTGAAACAGCGGGCAGTTTTTTTGTGCTGCACTTTTTGCTTTTTGCCGATGCCGTTTATCTGATTTCCCATTGGAGTAGCAGAAGCAGCAACACCTCGCTTTAAGATTGCACGCGATATACAATGGGATGCATTGGGTTCGTCCCCACCACCCTTCTTTGTCGCTCCATCGCATCAAGGTGAACAGCCTAGGGCTGGCCATTAAAACCCACTGAACCGCGCCCAAGGCTATCACTCATGGATGGATGTTTGACGAGGGTTCTGGCAAAGACTCTCCCCTTCCTCTGCCCCATTCGGTCATCACCGGGAGGCGTCCAACGAGGCGGCCGCCGTGGTTGAATGCACTGCGGATGTCTGGTCTTGACGGGTCGATAGTGACTGAAGGCATACGAGATGATTGCTTGGGGTGGGACGCGCACCGAGGGGACGGCGCTGGGCTTGCAAATCGTAAAATTGCATGATATCATAGGTGGGTTTGACCGGTGCGCGTCCGTCTCCCTGTCCGGCTGCATCAAGAGATGCGAGCGGGAGGACTGGGTTACGGAGCCAGTATCGTGCGACTTGACGTCGCCCGGCTCTGATCGGGGCGCCTTGCCTCCTTTTGTGGCCGGTGCCGCATGCTCAGAGTGTGGACTCTGAACTTTTGCAGGCCGGATCCGGCTGAGAGGTCCTCAAGTCCGTGCAAGAGGGTATAATCTCCTGGGCTACCATATATGTTGATTTCGATATGACCGCATCGCCAAAGGACTTTTGGTTTTTTTTTTTTGGTGAATATCTTGGTCCCCCGTGAGGGTTTTGGGTGCCCTTCCGGGATGTGGCCGGCAAGCGTCTGGATTGTCGGGGGCTGTGGGTCAAATCGGGCACCTCGGTTTCCTTCGAGAGGTGTCGACGCACGCCCGCCAAGCAATCCGCCCTCCCAAAACTGCATTGCAGGCCAGGTATCTCGGTGTTCCCTGGAGATTGTCCTCCGGTTATTAGTTCCCCCGTGAGCCTTTGCGCAGGCCAGGTGGTCCGTGGCTGTCGGGCACGCCGAGGTTTTGCTCCGCAAAGGAGTGACCCGCAGGCTGGCTCAATCACTTGGTTCCTCGGGGACTGCTTCGCGTATCTGGACCACCCCCGCAAACTGACGGGGCGGGTTAAAACCCCTGCCGATGCTCGGCTTGCTCGCCAAGCCATGGACGACCTCATGATCGGCGCCCTCGGGTTTAGGAAGTCGGGCAGGGCGAGACCCATCGGCCGTGTCCTGAGCGTCCAGTGTCATGTTGCCTGGGCAAAGCTGCTCAACTTCAACCCCGTTCCCCCAGCCTGAGGGTGTTTCTGGGGGGTCCATCGCCGGAGGCAAAGGTGGGATTCAGCGTCGGACTGGCTCAAGAGAAGCGGCTCCCCTATATAACCGAGCATGCCACGCACCGTGGGATTAGTACCCTCGTCCAGCCGCCACATTTTCTAGAATAAGATCCTGTCTTGCCAAAAAGGCGACCTCGCCCAACGGCTGCAGTCGGGGGTTGTCGAAAGTGCGGTGCAGCGCGAAATGCCATTACGGCGCCTTGGTCCCCAGATGTAAGGGTAAACTAAACCATGTTGCAAGCTTCGTAGGAGTAAATTTGGTCACCTGCCGGTAATTTGCCTGCTGACGATGTCCCGGACGACGAAGTGGGCTATGAGGCCGCCGGCGCCGCCCTTAACCTCGATGCTGACTCCGTTAAACAGCACCGCGGCTGCCGTACAGTATTAGGAACATGGCCTCCTTGGCGACCAAGTTGCCGCCACCGATAACGCCGAGGCGCTTTTCGCAGAGGATGGGCATGGCGCCGTCGCAGACAGTGCGGGCCGAGATGCCGTTCTGCCAGTATTTGTTCTCGCTCGAACCACCGTGTCTGCCGACCGAGCCCGCTGTACGCACCCCGTTGAGTGACCACTCGGTCGAGTACCTGAATGGCCGCGCGGAGACGTCCAGCTTAGCGACCATCTCGGACATGATCTTGGCTTCGAACCAGAGGGACTACTCCCGCATGGCTTATTGGGTGCTCTGTAGATTAGGTCATTATGAGCAATAAAATTCGGTCCGAGGGTTTTTGATTGGCTGTGCAGGAATATGCAGGGCATCATATGAATATCAATGGCAGCACACGTCTTACACCTATGCACCATCGCCTCGGCTTTATAGTTGCGCCAAAGGTTAAGCGCAAATAGATCCTTCCCGCGACCTGATCGAGACGGGGTCAAAGTGCCGATTCAGATGGGTGTGGCGCTTTGCACCGGCCGAACCTACCCGCAGTCAAGCATCGCAGCTTTCCTTTGAAAGAGGTACCTCCAGATACCTGGCAAGTGCAAGGTCCAACTTCACAGGCCCCGTGCTTGAAGCTACACGAACCAGCTCCACATTCTAATCTAGAAAACATAGTGGCATGGCACCAGCAACTTGTGGTGCCTAGAATGTGCATAAATATCAGCTATCCCACTTTTAGGGCCTGAACGAATTCTCTCTCTGTCACACAACCATTTAAGCACAGGCCCGAAGCCGCGCCTGCCCTCACACCCAAGAGCTAGTGATTCTCTAAAACGGCTCTATCCACCACCACCTGTATGTCTACACTGCTATGCTTATTACTACCTTGAGCAGCACAATAACTAACCGCCCAAGCACCAGAGGGAGGGCGACAACTGTATTACCGATAAATCATCCACAACTCATCCGTCAACTAGATAAATTGTCGTTGACGGCCATTGAGATGCGTCGTTTCACTTCAGCTTCGATCATGCTAGTCACCATGGCTTTCACCAGCCCGGCGTTTGCAGGCCCAGCCGCGTACGGCGTCTGCCAGGCCGGCTGCGCGGCTGTTGTCATGGCCTGCTACTCTGCCGCTGGCTTCACTTGGGGAGCCACTCTCGGCGTTTCGGCTCCACCTACCATAATCGCCTGTAACACTTCATTTGGCACTTGCCAGGCCGCCTGCGCGGCAGTGCTACTCAGCCCCACCCCGTAATATGGTGCCGGGAATAAGGCTCAACTACGTCACAGCGCCAGCCGCTCCACCCTATACCCCCACCCCCCATCAAAAAACCACTACCTTTCCATTTAGTGTCCAGGCCCACCCAGTCTGCAGCGCTTGCAAACTCGCGTTTTATGGGATTTAGAGAAGCAAATGTGTACAGATTCCTCGGTGAATTGCGGCTTCGAAAATAGCACATGGATTTCGCGCAAGCGCACCGGATTGCAAATTGATGTGTCCTCCCAGCGCCCTAATAGTAGCGGTAGGAAGCCGGCGTTTGTTCGAAGGTTGCGGCTGCCAGCTTCCCAGCCAACCCAAGAGATTTTGCAAAATGATCGGCCGCGAGCACGACGGACAGGAGCGCTCAAAGTCGAATCAAGGCCCGCGTCAGCGTCGTCGGCCCCGATCTTCAAAGGGGTTAAAATATGGAGGCGACAACGCGTAATCTGTTAGCGGACCCAATTGACCACCTTGGAGGAAAAGTGGGCTCGGCGCCATACTGTTTTTGTCACGTGCTAGAGCCTGGAGTGGTTGCTAGCCTTGATAAGATTGGGAGGTTGGAAAATGCACACAGCGCGTGCATTGATGGATCTTTTGGTCATTGGCGCACCTGGTCAATCCAACCCCAGGTCGTGACGGTAGTTCCATCGCGGTCGCCTTTTCATTTGCTAACCAACTCGCTTCCGCAGTTTGTCCTATCGCTCGCGACCTCCCATTCCACTCCCGTCTCGGCCGCTTAACCCTTCCGAGGCCGAAAACTCAGCTTCGTAGGCTGTGTTGGTCGTAACAACGTGGGTGGCTGCAGAAGTGGGGGAGACGCGGCGGCACCGCAGCACATATTAGGACTGGGGGGCGGGTTTTGGAGTTGCGCCAAACCAAACGACAATAATTCTTCACTGCATGGTGGGCTGGTTTTAACTTTTATCACAAATCGCACCATCGAACCTGGATCAGGCATCCAGCATGGCAACCCCAAGCGAGACACCAGGGCTCTGCCCGGATTGGGTGCTGGCGACCGGCTCTAACGTGCAGTAGGTCCCAATTCGCAGGGAAAACCAGACGAGACTCCACGTCATGACCTTGATTGTGACAGCGGGTCGCGTAAACACCTTTCCGAAGACACATCAATGATTTCGAGAGCCACGGTGTGGTTCTCGTATTCCCAACCGTAGACTGCAAGGCAATTATTTGCATCGATAAGCCTCGGCTCGAGGGGCACCAGATCTTCGGGATCCTGTTGGCTGTGGTCAGCGTCGGCTTTCCTAATAGCTGCGGTCGGTCTGCGGTCGGTGTTGGCACCGCCATGATTAGGAAGGAATTGGGCGACCCGGCCGAGATGGCCGCGGCAACCCTGTGCCCGGAGATCCACCCAATGACCCAATCTTAGCCCCTATTCCAAAAAGATTTACCCAGCCATACACGCCCAATCGTTTACCAACAATCCCATGTCCTTAGCTGGCTACTCTCTCCCTGCTAAACCCATAATAACAATGGGAATAAAGCAACCGGCATCTGGTACGCACCGCCACGAGCTTCTGGGCGCGTCTTCTAGGCGCTCAACCCAGCAATGGGAGCCACCGGTAGCTACGGCCCGATCTCTGGTTGATTTGAGCTTGCCAAAAAGACCTGGCGGCGAACCCGCCAGAATCGAGGCGAGCCTTTCTGATGGCATGACCGGAAAGCACAAACGGCCTAGCGTTTCGCAAAAAGATGTGCCTGGCCCCAACAGCAGCGAGCAGCAAATGTCGGCCTGTGGCAGGTCGGACAAAGTCGTGGGTGCTGGTATGTATTGGATCTCTCATCATAGAAGAGGTAAATTTTACATCAAAGTTTAACGTGGCGCAGCCAATACACTAGCAGATTGTGCGGAAAAATTATCCGCAATGCCGCTAGTAGACATATACAAAGGTCACACAAGTCCTGTAACAGGTATGTATTAAGTTCAAAATCCACGACAAGTTACAGAGACCTTTATTTCAGAAAGCTGGGTACTATCTCTTACTACATATTAATCAGATCATGAAAAAGAAACGATTGCTGCCACTGGATGTAGCGACCAACCTGATTCTCATGGCAAATCTCTGATAAGCGAGGAGCCGCAACGAGAAGACCGCCAGTCCTTATGCCAAGCATTTCCCGCTGTTGATCCGCCGTCCTCTTCCGCCGAACTTGCGCAACTGTATACTTTGCCGACTCATCCAAATGATGTCTGTCAGCAGCTCGGCAAGCAAGACTACCGATCTCGCCTTCGAAGTCGCAAACCAGCAAGCACACCTGCACCTAGGTTCCTCCACCAGCCGCCAAAACCTCGGTCAACAGGAGGAAAGGTTGCGAAAACAAAACCGCGCAAGCCTTGTAAAACCGCTCTAGGCCAGCCACATGCGACCAAAGCACAACAAGCTTCCGCAGCCTTCTATCAATGGCATATGAGCGAAGGGGTTTTTAACATGACAACAATCGATGGCAGGGTTACCTGCCAACTGAATTTTGTTCTGACTGACTCGAGCACTGCAGCTCCTGAGACGTTATCTGAAAACCAGTTACCAGAAGAGTCTCCAGGTGTATCAATCTTTCTACCAACTGGTACCCGAAACGCAAATCTTGGACCTGCTCCCAGCCAAAGCGACATGGGGTCAAACAACCCCACTTTTGAGCCAAACGCTACCGGCGACGAGTTGCCAAACAACAAAGTGCCAACCAATACTTTCCGTCCGGGAAAGTATAAAGTAAAGTGTTTACTTGGGAAGAAAGGAGGTGACTATATTGTCAAGTGGGAGGACAATTCCGTCTCCTGGGAACCCCGAAAACACATTAGCCGTGGTCTTCTGGAAGAGTTTAAGAAGGCCTACCAAGGTTTTGATTTGGGGGTAGAGGTGGTAAATACCCGAATTGCAAAAAAAACTGTGGGTGCTAAGAAAACCCGGAAAGTTCGGAAGGCAAGAAAGACCGGTAAGCTTATGTACAAGCTCCACGTCATCGGCACTCAAAGTAAGGACGACTTTTGGGTGGAAAGCAAGGAACTAAGCCCTAGCCTACTCGCTAGGTATAACGAGTGTCACGGCCTGTAGGGCCTCTTGTATCTAGCAGAAGTTCTCGATCACAGCGATCGATTAGATAGGCGGCCCCATTGCACGTGACCCCGCGCGAGAGATATCCGGCCCTCGCGCATACGGGCCCCGCTGTAACGTGCTGTGCAGAGGAAGGGGTTCTCGCTGGGAGATCTCAGAGGTTCAGGTCACTCAGCGGTCTCGAGGAAACGTGCGGGTCAACGTTGTGTACAGCAGAAGGTGCCTGGCAGCATTGAATAGGAAAACAAAAACAAAAACGGTTGCTTGCCCTCCAGACCCCTTTACAGGGAGTCTTGCGGGCCCTAGATATACATGATGCCGTAGTGGCCTTTGGCCACCACGCCGTGGACCTTCCCGGATGCTTGGACACGGCCAAGGGACGGCCCGCGTCCTGGATACCGCGCTGTGGAACTCTCCCGGGGTTTCAACATGGCTGGGGAGCGGATCGCGTTCATTCCGCCAGGCTGGCACCGGCTCGTGCTCGTGCCGCCAGGCTGGGCGTCAGCTCGCCCCGCCAGGCTGGGCATGGGCTGAGATGCCCGACATCTCTGGGGTGTTACACCCGCGAGCCGGTCTCTCCGATATATCATCTTTCTGCTCCCCTCAATTATCGCCCCTACAGTGTGACGGCTCAAGGCAGCTCACCGCATGCCGCAGGCATGCACGTGAGCACGCGCCGCGAAATGGCTCATGCGGTGAGACGCCGCCTTTTCTTTCGCGTCGCGGTTCGGCGCTTCGCGCCTCTCCTCCTCTTCTCTCCCCATAGAAGAGTCTTTGTCCATAGCATCAATAGAACCCAGCTGCGAAGCCTATTCTCCGTGATCGTGACAATCGTGACATGAGTTAATTATAAAAAGCGGTAAGTTAATTATGAAAGGCGGTGAGTTAAATGTGAAAGGCGGTAAAGTAGTTAACTATAAAAGGCGGTGAGTTGTTTATAAAAGGCGGTGAGTTGTTTATAAAAGGCGGTGTTATGGTACGGCGCGCGTCTTCACAGTGATCCACCGTGTGGGTTCTGGTCGGTGGGTCTTAGCCTATGGGTCTTGACCCAGATGGTTACAACATGCAACAAAGCAAAAAGTGGCTGTTCAGCCACGTTATCGCACACCCCAGGAGTTTGAGGGGGTGCAGTGTAACTTCGCCAGCCCTCTTGTATTTGCACGCCCTTCCACGCCCAGGTTACTTTGCCACCAATATTTCGAGCCCACAACTCGGCTAAGGGCGCAAAAATTGGCTTTGGTTCCACTTTTGACGCGACCTCAGTGCCAATCATTCTAGTGCAGTTTTCTTACCCCCTCCCCATGGAATAGGCCCAAAACCGTGCGAGGAACCTACACCCGGATTTTTCGGGTCCGGTATGACATTAAGAAAATGTACACTTGTCACGGCGGTTAGACAAAGAGAGACCCTCCCATCTCTGCTAAAAAGCGAGAACAATCAGGACTGGCTGCAGTGCACGTCAGGGCACGCCACGCCGTAACATCTGTTGGGCCTTGGCACATTCAGGCATCAATTCCTTCTTGGCCAACGGCGATCCTCCCTCGACCTACATCGGTCCCGGGGGTAGTCCTCGTGTGACACTTATTGCGCAGCTGCGAATCAATGCGACAGCCATAGCAGTCCGGACGGGGTTTAAACGTGGCCATTTTAGAAATAAAAAGAGAACTGGAAAAAAGGAAAGGAGTTGGCAAAAAGGAAAGGGAATTAGAAATCATGCAAGCAGACTGGACCTCGAACGTCTTGCTGCTTTGGATTTGCACGCCACTGTCGCCGTGGAGAGCTATCTTGCTACTACTACTACTACTACTACTAGGTTTTCTAGCTGTTGATGCAACTTTTACATGTTTGTGTTGGAATCCCAGCACGGCGCACGCACAGGCTCAAGGGCCCACTAAGATCGGCGAGTTTCGGGGACCAACAAGCCCCGAGCTCACCTGTATATAAAGGGG